GACTCAGCACTGCTCAGAAATGGATGAGCGAATCGCTGAGTGCGGCATAAGATTTCGCTTGCTCGAGTATATGATGTTCAGGTTGACCATGAGGGTCAAAGCTCTCGAGCTCGAGAATGCTCAGCTGCGCGGCCGTGGAGGAGGTCAGCTTCCCTCGGTTGATGAGGGCGACGTTGATGAACTCCGTGACGATACCACCAGCGGAGAGGATGATACCGTAGCGAGTGCATGTTGATGCTCCTGTCTCCAATATTGGTTGTTTTCAGGAGTGGTATCAGCTTACTCAGCGGATGGCAGCGATCGCTGCTAGCTCCTGAGTGCAGATACGAAGGTCTCGTATGAAGCATGGCATGCCGCATGCGTCGGACGCGACTCAGCCATTTCATTATGTTGTACGGTTTTCGTCGAGTTGAGCAATCGATGGAGTCTATCAACGGTGTGGTGTTGAAGTACAGTCAAGGCACGCTTCATCGCATCGCGTTAGTTATTTGGGAGTGTTGGGTGAGACTGAGTGTTAGCCAACTAGGCAGCAGAGGGCGGTGATAATACCGAACCTCACAACACGCCGTGCATTGGCTTAACACCACAGTCACATTGCCTAGCACGCAGGCACATAGGCAATGTCCCCCAAACAACTAGTGAAGGTAAAAGAAAAATTCCAGGGTGGAACCGGCTCGAGAGGCTCCTGGACAGCCAGATTGCTGTCACTTCAGTCTCGACCGGTTGCACCACTTTCTGGTTCGGGTCGATCACAATGGCGTGCGCCACGCACGCACGAGCGATACTTGTTACGCTTGCTTGAATTTGCCCCATGCAAGCCTGGACCTTCACGTTTTATTTCTCCAGCTTCACTTGTCCCTACCAGGGATCGAACCCGGGTCATACGCTGTTGCGATTTACGCAGTGCTCTTTTTTTGCGAAAACGTGAAGCGCTTCGCTCCGTAGGAGTTGAGCAAGATAAAAGTGATCTTGTAGCTCTCTCCATAGTGGCTCAGGTGTTAGCGGTGCTCCTCACCAATGACCAGCAAGGCACCAGCCTCCATCTCCGAGAAAGCTTCTACCCTCGCTACGGGCAAGGGGATACCCGGCATCGACCCTAAGCTCCCTACTCATACCCCTCCCGCTTCCTATGATGTCCTCTCAAGTGGTAAGACCAGACCTGTGCAAGTGGCCAAGTGGCCTCCGATGCCGGGTGGAGTCCCCCTCCCCAAGGGAGGCATCGGCGGAGTATGGCGTGGAGCTTTCGAGGTCGCTTCTGCATACACCGCCTTCAATCTTGAGAGACAACGCTTCGCTAATATCATCAGGTGTCACCTGGATGGTGCTCTCTCAGTACTGCAGTGTCTATTCCAGGTTGGGCACCTTGTGTCGTGTGGTGGTCTGGCCAGTGATCCCTCTCGTGGGGCTCTTCCACTACATCCGTCAGCGTGACCGCGACTGGTATGCTTTGGAACTGCTCAGGTCTAGATGCAAGAGCGAAGGTAGGAGTATCCTTTCCTTCGCATACGTGGCAAGGTGTTGACGATAGACTGTGCTGCCTTCTACGACTGGACCATGCCGGCCTCCTCTGGTCACTGGAGGATGCAGAACGATCTCGAGATTATTCGTCGAGCCGCAAACGTCGAAGACTGAGTGAGTCTTCGAGTGTGAGGGTGTTTCGATTGTCTCGCATCCCGCAGTATTTACTCGTACACGAAGAAGCGCGAGCCTGCACTACAAATATATAACATTTGGTT